TATTCACTGAGCCAAAGGCAAAGTGAATATAGGCTTGTAATTACTGAGGCGACTAATGGACCATTTGCATTATAGACTAAATTTTGGTCTAGACAAAAATTTCATCACAGCTTGAAAGAGCATCACAAAATTAGTAATATTCCAAAGTTTCGTTGCAAAATGTTGTAAAATGCGGATAATATAGCCCTGCGAAGTTTGCCGTTTTTCAGTCATTTTGTATTACAAACGGGAAATTGATGCCCCAACACCCGATTGGGCTGTCAATTTCCCGTGCGTAATACAAAATGACTGAGAAACGGCAAACTGCGCAAGGCTATATTATCCGCATTTTACAACAATTCGCAACGAAACTTTGGAATATTACTAATTTTGTGATGCTCTTTCAAGCTGTGATGATCAGCTAGATGAAAATCTAGTCTATAATGCAAATGGTCCATTGTTTTAGTACTGTATAATTTCAGTATCGAAAAAGTTTTATTTATAAATATACATGTGTATATTTTATGAATATAATTTACATAAATAATTCACTTCCGTCTGATTTTCAGCCATTGTTTTGGGAAAAGCAATATAGTTACTGCTCAGAGCAGTCTGAGCAGTACCAATTGCCTCAGAGTTACTACTGAGGGAGCCAGCCAATCAGAACGCTCAAAAGTAATTTTACAATCCTAAAATTATACTAATATTCTTTAAAGAAGTGATTAATGGCAGTGACAAAAAGTATAGTTAAAAACTAAAACTTACTGAAAAATTGTGAGTCTTCATGAGTCTATATAGGAGAGAAGAACAAAACTGATCATATTTTGCATTTAGTCAGTATAAGCAAGGATATGCTAGTATTATGTTGAAAAATTTTGTAGACAGAAATTTTATATTTAATTTTATACATTCATCTAGACCTACAGTAACCAAGAGCAACTGTGAAAAAATGCAACTATTTGTCCTCTCGCAGGAATCGGACCTGCGGTCCTGCGATTCAGCGCAGAGAGACAGACTGAGCTACAGAGGCCAGTTGTCGAGCTCCAACCAACTGAGCTACAGAGAGACAGTTGTCGAGCTCTAACCAACTGAGCTACAGAGAGACAGTTGTCCAGCTCTAACCAACTGAGCTACAGAGAGACAGTTGTCGAGCTCTAACCAACTGAGCTACAGAGAGACAGTTGTCGAGCTCTAACCAACTGAGCTACAGAGAGACAGTTGTCGAGCTCTAACCAACTGAGCTACAGAGAGGCAGTTGTCGAGCTCTAACCAACTGAGCTACAGAGAGACAGTTGTCGAGCTCTAACCAACTGAGCTACAGAGAGACAGTTGTCGAGCTCTAACCAACTGAGCTACAGAGAGACAGTTGTCGAGCTCTAACCAACTGAGCTACAGAGAGACAGTTGTCAAGCTCTAACCAACTCAGCTACAGAGAGACAGTTGTCAAGCTCTAATCAACTCAGCTACAGAGAGACAGTTGTCGAGCTCTAACCAACTGAGCTACAGAGAGACAGTTGTCGAGCTCTAACCAACTGAGCTACAGAGAGACAGTTGTCGAGCTCTAACCAACTGAGCTACAGAGAGACAGTTGTCGAGCTCTAACCAACTGAGCTACAGAAGACAGTTGTCAACCTCTAACCAACTGAGCTACAGAGAGACAGTTGTCAAGGTCTAACCAACTGAGCTACAGAAGACAGTTGTCGAGCTCTAACCAACTGAGCTACAGAGAGACAGTTGTCGAGCTCTAACCAACTGAGCTACAGAGAGACAGTTGTTGAGCTCTAACCAGCTGAGCTACAGAGAGACAGTTGTCGAGCTCTAACCAGCTGAGCTACAGAGAGACAGTTGTCGAACTCTAACCAGCTGAGCTACAGAGAGACAGTTGTCGAGCTCTAACCAGCTGAGCTACAGAGAGACAGTTGTCGAGCTCTAACCAGCTGAGCTACAGAGAGACAGTTGTCCAGCTCTAACCAACTGAGCTACAGAGAGACAGTTGTCGAGCTCTAACCAGCTGAGCTACAGAGAGACAGTTGTC